GCCGCCTCTGCCAACGCCCCCTTCAGCGCTCGCCATCACCGCGCGCCATTCCCTCTCCCGCCACCATCAAGTCTCTCGCTCTACGTTACTTCTGAGCGCAACCTCCAATTCCCACCTACAACACCTCTTGATCTACACGTGAGTATTCGCCGCGCCACCGGTCACCGCACCCAAGCCATCTACGTGCATTGATCCTGACCCAACTGCTTGACTTCTTGCTCCCGTAGCTTCCATCCTTCGACATCATGCGTGAGGTGCTCTCTCTCCACGTCGGTCAGGCCGGTATCCAGATCGGTAACGCCTGCTGGGAGCTCTACCTTGCCGAGCACGGCCTCAGCCCCGACGGCCGCATCCTCGAGGGCAGCCCCTCGGAGAACGACGACGGATTCTCCACCTTCTTCAGCGAGACCGGCAGCGGCAAGTACGTGCCCCGCTCCATCTACGTCGACCTCGAGCCCAACGTCGTCGATGAGGTCCGCACCGGCACCTTCCGCTCCCTCTTCCACCCCGAGACCCTCGTCACGGGCAAGGAGGACGCCGCCAACAACTACGCCCGCGGTCACTACACCGTCGGCAAGGAGCTCATCGACCAGACGCTCGACCGCGTCCGCAAGCTCGCCGACGCCTGCTCCGGCCTCCAGGGCTTCTTCGTCTTCCACTCGTTCGGCGGTGGTACCGGTTCCGGTTTCGGCTCGCTCCTCCTCGAGCGCCTCGCCCAGGACTTTGGCAAGAAGGCCAAGCTCGAGTTCTCGGTGTACCCTTCGCCCAAGATGAGCTCGTCGGTCGTCGAGCCCTACAACTCGGTGCTCACCACCCACACCACGCTTGAGAACTCGGACTGCTCCTTCATGGTCGACAACGAGGCCATCTACGACATCTGCCGCACCAAGCTCGGCATCGCCTCGCCCGGCTTCACCAACCTCAACCGCCTCATCGCCCAGGTCGTCTCGTCGATCACCGCCTCGCTCCGATTCGACGGCTCGCTCAACGTCGACCTCAACGAGTTCCAGGTCAACCTCGTGCCCTTCCCGCGCATCCACTTCCCGCTCGCCACCTACGCCCCCATCCTCTCCGCCGCCAAGGCCGGCCACGAGCAGAACTCGGTCGCCGAGATGACCTTCTCCTCGTTTGAGAAGGGCAACCAGATGGTCAAGGCCGACCCGCGCGACGGCAAGTTCATGGCCTGCTGTCTCCTCTACCGCGGTGACGTTGTGCCCAAGGACGTCAACTCGGCCGTCGCCACCATCAAGACGAAGCGCACCATCCAGTTTGTCGACTGGTGCCCCACCGGATTCAAGATTGGCATCTGCAACGAGCCGCCCACCACCGTCCCCGGCGGCGACCTCGCCAAGGTGTCGCGCTCGCTCTGCATGCTCGCCAACACCACCGCCATCGCCGGCGCCTGGGGCCGCCTGGACAACAAGTTCGACCTGCTCTACTCGAAGCGTGCCTTTGTCCACTGGTACGTCGGCGAGGGTATGGAGGAGGGCGAGTTCTCCGAGGCGCGCGAGGACCTCGCCGCCCTCGAGAAGGACTACGAGGAGGTCGGTCTCGACTCGGTCGACGTCGGCGAGGAGGACCTCGAGTACTAAGTCGTGTTTGCTCTCGGCCGCGTCTTGACGCCATGCGCACGCATGTTGGCGGCTTGGTTGTGCTGCCCCTGCTGAATCGACTTTGGTGTTTTCCTTGCGTCTCCGTGTGCCTGCGTGTGGGTGTGCCTCTTGAGGGATCTAGTCGTGAGGATGCGAAGGTGGGGTGTGCGTCAGACGACCGGTGGACCTGTTTGCCTTTGTTTTCGGGGCGGCCATGTCGGGGAGCGAGGCCAGGCTCGACGAGGTGGAGAGGAAGAGTGAGATTGATTGGGTTTTGTACTCGGAGAGAGAGAGAGAGAGATGCGTCGTGAGCGGGCGGGGTGGGACGATGCTTGAGCTGAGCAGTTGTGTGGCATGTGTTGGAAGGGGGGTATGGGTGGATTTTGCGAGGGTGGATGCGATTCGTGCATGGGTGCACTAGGCGGTGAAGCGAGGAGGGTATTGCAAGAGCTGGGGATCAGTGATGATGGGGGTGAGCATTTGACGTTGCAGCTATCGGACCTTGAAGCTATGCTGAGCCCAGGTAGAGAAGATTGATTCTCCCGTGTTGCACACCCGCCTTCACAGTGCGAGATGCATAGAATTGTTACCAGCAGCAGTGTTTCGACAAGCTGCAGCACTTTGTTCAAGCAAGACGACAAAACACAGTCTTTGCCTTTTCTCCTTTTGCGTCGTGTTGTGCAGACTGAGGACAACCTGTAGGCCTGTATGAAGCGGCAGAGGAGGTGGGTGGCTGACATGGTCTCATTGGCCGGCTCGAGAGCGGGTGGATCGCAGCTGGTCGACACGGTCCTCGTCAAACTCTCGGCGTTCGCAGCGAGTGTGTGTTCAGCGCGCATCTTGATGCCATCCCAGGAGAACCACAGGAACAACCCCCTGCCACGCTGTTGAACATGGTCCCACCGCCAGGCAGACGAATCTCCTCTCCTCTCGCGCCACCGGCACCAACGGTACAATGCACGTCGAGTACGCAAACCTCGCTGCCAATCTCGTCGCACAGCACACACTTCCCTCCACTTCGCGAGCGCCATCCGCACGATCCCTTCAACGCAAGAAGAGCACGCGACACACGCAACTTGCAACAAGAACATCAACATTTTTTCAACAAGACGGGCATATGAAAGAGACATGATTTGATATGGCGGCCAGTAACTCCGGTCAATGCAAACAAGACAAGACAAGGCAGTAGGGTAGTGGCAAGGGCGATCGCACTACTGCAAGGCGCGGAGCAGATCCCATCGTTGCCAGCTATCCGCATGCCAAGTCTAGTTGTGCAGCGCATTCGACGCCTGCGAAGTGGCCGTGAACGGGTTCACCGAAAACACCTTGAGCACAGGCGGCGACTTGGACATGTCCGAGGTGACAATGACAGGCACCTGCATGAGTTCCTGGATCCTCTGGATCCTCTGGCCGCCCGGCGTCTCGTGCAGGCCCTCGAACTGGAGCGCCGGCTTGTTGAGGCTCCTCGCACGCTGCTGCGACTCCTTGGCCGCCTCGATGTTGTGCTGACGCACCAAAGCCGCCGTCGAGCTCTCGTTGTTCTCGTCGTCGTCGTCATCATCGGCAAACAGCGCCGCCTCGTCCGTCTGCGACTGCGAGGTCATCTCCATCATCTGGTGCTGCTGCGCCACCTCCTGCAGCTTCTTGACGTGCACGTCGTCCGACGTCTCGGCGAGCCACGCGATCACGTCCACGTTGGGCTTCCAGTGGATCGAAAGCGCATTGGTCTCGCCATCGTGCACGTGCTTCTCGATGGGCATCTGGTCGACGTGCACGCGCTTCTCGATGCCAAACTCGGGCACGATCACGTCGAAGGCGGCGTCGAGCACGCCCATCACTGTCGCCGGTCGCACAACGGGACCATAGCGCATGGTGAGGTCGTGAATCAGCAAGCACAGGAAGAGGTGCGCACTCTGCTCCTGCGCGAGCTTGGCCGCATCCTTCTTGACGTTGCACTGCTGCGCGATCTTGGCCATCGCCTCGCGGTCCACGCCGAACTTGTCCTGCCCCGCCA